GAATTCCAGAATATATATATTTTTTGGTTTTGCTCAGAGTATGAGAACCCAAATATGTTCTCAACCCCATAAGTAACATGTGGCGGGAGCTGGTGTCCTTGGTCTTGTGACCATCAGGCCGAGGTCCCCACAGTGCTGCCTGCGGAGCGCAATGCACAAAGTAGTGGGTGTGGCCAAAATATGCGTTCTTAAATTGCAACTCCACTGCAGCCATCGGACAGAATGAGACTGGTCAGAACCTCCCACATTATTGCCTGCTGAAGTCTTGTACGGAACCTTTTCCTTCACTTCCTGTGTCAGTAACCAGGTTGTCACTGGAACAGGAGGTAAAGGGTAAAGTTCCAAAGGGGGGGTCACTGGCACCGGATGTAATTCAGCCTGAAAGACTGGCGACATCTAGTGGTGGAAAGGAAGTACTGCAGGATGTGGATCGTAACACACTGAACTGATGTTTTATGTTAAACGGCCGCATCACACAGAAGAGAGAGAGAGAGAGACCACATCCTCTACCTGTTCCACTCAGTCATCAGATTATTATCGGGACATCAGCCGCCACCGTCACTGCGCTCGTGTTGTTCGCTTTGTGGCCGGGCTGATGTGGGCGCCGTGTGCTGAAAGTCTAAAGAGAACCTGTCACGCATACAGTTATACGACGCAGAAACCAACATGGCGTCTGACTATTGTATTGTCTCATGGTGGGTGCAGGGGAGACTGAGGAAATGCTTCCCCCTGCCTGCAACAGACTGATCACTGGGGGAGGGGACACTGAGGAAATGCTTCCCCCTGCCTGCAACAGACTGATCACTGGGGGAGGGGACACTGAGGAAATGCTTCCTCCTGCCTACAACAGACTGATCAGCAGATGGTCAAGAATGCTCTTTGCACTGGCGGCCGGTGGGAGAAGGGCCCCCTGCATTGGCGGCCGGTGGGAGAAGGGCCCCCTGCATTGGCGGCCGGTGGGAGAAGGGCCCCCTGCATTGGCGGCCGGTGGGAGAAGGGCCCCCTGCATTGGCCAGTGGGAGAAGGGCCCCCTGCATTGGCCAGTGGGAGAAGGGCCCCCTGCATTGGCGGCCCTGGGAGAAGGGCCCCCTGCATTGGCGGCCCTGGGAGAAGGGCCCCCTGGAGAAGAACTCATCGGGGCAGTACATCAATCCACCAACGGGCAAGAAATCCCTCAGCAACCTCTGGAGGAACTTCGGCTTGCAGTGTAAAGACATATCAGCTGCACCCATAATTGTGGAAACTGCATGGTCTGACAAGGGAACATGCTGACAGGAGGATAGAGCAGAGGGGTGACTTTCCAGTGACTTCCTTCCTTGTCCAGTCAGCTGCCTGTGGGCTGGAATGGCGGCACCACTGTGGGAAAGTGCCATGACCCCCTGGCTGTGGTGTTTGGCAGAGGTGCAAAAATTGCAGAATAACACACAACTCTACATACGTGTGGTCTGATCATGTATGCAGCTAGTGACCTCCGCACTGCAGCAGGGATCTGTTGACTCAGAAGTGGCGTATTTCAGGTAACCCCCTCCCCTACCCCCCCCGAGCGGGGATGTTCAGAGGGTGGTTGCGTTGCCCGCACTCTTATTGCACAGATGATGGGAGGGGAAGTGTTACACTGTGACGGTGCATTTCCTTCAGCTTTATACACACTCACTTACCAGACAGATTTACAATCCTCTCCCGGCCCCCCATCGCGCTCCCCGGTGCCCCTCCGGCCCATGCATGCCCAGGGATGATCCTCTCCACCTTGTCCCTCACCGGGCCGCCGCCGCCCAGCGATTGGTCGGCTCTGCAACGTCCTAATCAGGTAACCGCTCGGCTCTTTCGGCAGAAAACTCTTTATTTGTAACAATTTGTGTGCGAGGAGGAAGTGTGCGCGGGGGTCTCCCTCATAACACAGCAGTTAAAGGGCCAGTCCACCGCTAGAAAAGGGCCGGTACCGAGATGTGCCGATGGAAAGGAAGACAAAGCGAAGATCCTTCTGATGAATGGAAGGCGATTTATTCCTAAGGAGACTTTTCCATCAATTTGTATCTCTGGTCGGAATGTGATGATACATCAAGGCTGGATTCTCGGTGTTTGTGTGCGTCGTCACCCGCAGGTGTAAACAGGGCCGTGGAGTTCCCCTTTAAGAACGCACCTGCAGCACATGGACCTGGGATCTGGCCACAGAAAGATCCGGATTCCCCATTGAAAAGCATTTCTATGCAGCAAGGTGGAGAAGTGTGACCGGCCCTTTAAATGTTCTGATGGCTGATGCTACAATGTTTATTGTTATTTAATATTGTTATCATTTCCTGGATCCTCCGCCGGCGGAACGGTTGGGAATCTCTTTTCTAAGCATCTCATACCTGAAACTATCACCACGGTTCAATGAAAGCACAACGCTCGCCGTCGCCGGTGTGCGTAGTCTAGTGCAGTGCGTTGTAATGCAACAATGTTTACTTTTTAAGTTGTTTTTTTTCTTAAATGACATTGTATTTACCTCTATGTGACGGCTTGTGGTGATGTGCGTTGCACTGCTTTACAATGGGAACATGCTGCATACTTACGCATTGCACATCACCGTACGTTATTGGTGGGAGCAGGACACCTAGAGAACAGTTGCATCATTCAGTCCCAGGGGGGGAACAGCGGCATCCTCCAGTCCTAGGGGTACGCAGCGTCATCCTCCAGACCCGGGGTACGCAGCGTCATCCTCCAGACCCGGGGTACGCAGCGTCATCCTCCAGACCCGGGGTACGCAGCGTCATCCTCCAGACCCGGGGTACGCAGCGTCATCCTCCAGACCCGGGGTACGCAGCGTCATCCTCCAGACCCGGGGTACGCAGCGTCATCCTCCAGACCCGGGGTACGCAGCGGCATCCTCCAGACTCGGGGTACGCAGCACCACTTTACCTAACCCCATTTATACCTCCCCTCACCCCACTTACCTGCTTCTCCCTGCAGCATCCTGTATTTTTTCCTTCAGCGCGACAGCCGCGTCATCCATTCGGTGGGGATCTCTTAATGGGAAGACTACAAGTCTCATCTGCTACCGGGACTCACAGATTGCTGCAGCACCCTTGCAGTCCATTGATACTTCCAGCAGCCTCCTATCAGAAGTTCCGTACCTCCCATCTGGTCCGAGGTCTAGGGGGGTAAACAATGGAAGAGCCCGCACACTGCACCCCCGACACTCTGATCGCGGTCGCAATGCTCTGCAGGCGTCAATGCAAATAGTGGATGAATGCAGATTTTATTAATGGACATTGTTGGTGCATTTTATATACAGGGGGACTGCGCCTTTAAACCGTGCGAGTGTATGGACTTATCAGAGGTGCAGATAACACGATGGAGGCGGGGTGGAGGTGAGGGGGGTGTGTCATATTTTCCATGCTCATCACTCTTCCTGTGCTCGTCTCTTATCATGGATGGGCCCTGTGAGATGATATCGCATTGCGGCCTCTCTGGGGTTAATGCCTGCTGCCCCGGGGGAGGGGTGGGGGGGGTCTCCATTGTACGATCTGTGGGAGATCTTTTGCTGATCTGGCTCTCGCGGTTCTCGTTTCCCGCGACCGTAAACGCACTTCTTCTGCAGGTGACGCGGCTTTATCGTCTCCCTGCAGTAGAGTGTCAGTGCTTCGTCCTGGAGAAGTGAGATTACATTAGGGGAAGTCTGGTTCTCTTTTCACGTTTGCACGTGTTTGTTTCATTAGGACCCGTCAGGTTCAAGTGGACCCGTCAGTAACTTTACCAATCTGCATGTAGGGGAAAGTGACAGGCTCTCTTTTAAAGCAGAACTCCAGCCAAACAGGAGGAGATGATTGCTACTAGATGTCCGCAGTGTGATAGCCAGCATCCTTCAAGCTCACTTCCTCTGAGCCCAGGATGTCCTGCACCCGCCCCCAGCATGTAACTGGAATGCACAGTGATGAGCTCATCTCTGTCGCTCTGCTCTTTCCTCCTATCAGAGCCCAGGTTGTCCTGGACCCGCCCCCAGCCTGTAAGTGGACAGCACAGTGATGAGCTCATCTCTGTCGCTCTGCTCTTTCCTCCTATCAGAGCCCAGGTTGTCCTGGACCCGCCCCCAGCCTGTGACTGGAATGCACAGTGATGACCTCATCTCTGTTGCTCTGCACTTTCCTCCTATCAAAGCCCAGGTTGTCCTGGACCCGCCCCCAGCCTGTAAGTGGACAGCACAGTGATGAGCTCATCTCTGTCGCTCTGCTCTTTCCTCCTATCAGAGCCCAGGTTGTCCTGGACCCGCCCCCAGCCTGTGACTGGAATGCACAGCGATGACCTCATCTCTGTTGCTCTGCTTTTTCCTCCTATCGGAGCCCAGTTTGTCCTGAACCCGCCCCCAGCCGGTAACTGGACAGCACAGCGATGAGCTCATCTCTGTCGCTCTGCACTTTCCTCCTATCAAAGCCCAGGTTGTCCTGGACCCGCCCTCAGCCTGTGACTTGAATGCACAGTGATGAGTTCATCTCTGTCGCTCTGCTTTTTCCTCCTATCCATCATGTGACAATATTTGGGACTCATCTCTGCATCATGGATGGAGGGGACGAGCTCTCTTATGGAAGAAGGAACAATGGGGGGAGCATGCTGTCATAGGTGGTCTTTAAAGGGACCTTGTCGTTATACCTTGGACAAGGTGACAGGGCCTCTTTACAAATGACCAGAGTAGCCCTTTAATAGTCGTCTCTGGTCCCCGGATCTGGGGTCCCGGCCCGAGCAGAGACATATCTCCCCTCTCCAGCTTGCCGGAAGGGACTCGGTGATATCAGTGCGGTTGCACAACGAGCGATGCAATAACACCAGAGAGCAGGATGTCGGTCTTGCGTCAAATGTCGGGTCAGAAGGATGTGCGCAGAGTTTACCATCGGAGTACGGGAGTTGTGACAGGCCCCGTGCACAATGTTATTTCCTCATCTCTACCTGGTGATGAACCAATAGAACGCCGGCGGTGACTACGGAGCGTTCGGGAGCTGCATTGTTACTGGTGATCTCTCACACTGTTGCCTGCCCTCCATAGATTGCAGTGTCTATCTGGAAGTGCACTGACATCAGGAGTGCCTAGGCAAAGGTAGAGCATGGGATATCAGTAGTGCCTAGGCATGGGAAGTGGACTGATCTCAGGAGTGCGTAGGCACAAGAAGAGTACTGATATCGGGATTGCATAGACACGGAGCGCACGGGATATCAGGAGTGCCTAGGCAGAGGAAGTGCACTGATATCAGGAGTGCCTAGACACAGGAAGTGCACTGATAGGAGTGCCTAGACACAGGAAGTGCACTGATAGGAGTGCCTAGGCACAGGAAGTGCACTGATATCAGGAGTGCCTAGGCACAGGGTGTGCACTGATATCAGGAGGTGCCTAGGCACAAGCAGTGCCCAGATTTATTTTAGGAGGAATTTAAGACAAAAACAGCATTTTTCAGTGAACGGCTCGGGTACAATGAACATTTCTAGAAATCTCCCCTAAGACAGTAAATATTTACTCTCGGAGTTCAGTTCTTCTTCTTCATCTTTTTATTTCATTGATTTATGTATTTCCTCGGCCCGGTGATCACACTGTAACTATTACCGTAAATTATTAATTTTGTGCTCTGTGGTATACGCAGGCGGATCAGTCCCCGGGCCCCCGCGCTGGAGGATCAGTCCCCGGGCCCCCGCGCTGGAGGATCAGTCCCCGGGCTGGAGGATCGGACCCC